CTAAGCATTATGGAAATTTCAGCACACCGAGCTAAAACACAGGATTAGTTTGTGATCTTTCACTAAAGACAGTTCACCTCCTCTGAGCTGTCTTCATCAGAATCAGCAGTGATGGCACTGTAGGAATTTGGACATTAGGGTTGGGCAGAAGAAAGGAATGAGATGGCAACACCTGACATAGTTGCACAGAGTGATGATTAATACTGCAACAAAAAGGTCCATAGACAAGACAGGTCCATAGAAATAAAAGAATATTTATGATTGAAACTTTATTTGCTGCATTAAACATGCTACAGTTATCAATAGATTTAGTTAATCAAAAAAATTAAAAAAATGGAGGAACAATGTTTAATTACATTTATACAGTACATTACATATATATTATGTATATAAATATATATACTGTATATATANTGATTGATTGTGTGAGTGTGTGTAATTGTACCAAAAACTATAAATTGTGTAGTGTGTGAACACGGCTTTACAGACACTACAAGATGTATGTTGTTTATCTGTCACCTAACAGTGAGTTATTCTACAGAGCGTCTGGATGAGGCAGGATAGATTTTCCTATCACTCTTTCTGAGAGTGGAACTGAGTAAAAAAAAAGAGTTTTACTGTTTCCACAGTTTGTCATAAAGGGAAGGAATGTGTTTTTAATAATGCAAAGCAGTTTGTCCAGTGATTCTGCAGTAAACTACAGCAAAGTTCTTGGTACTCCCAACCACGTCTTGTTAGCTAACTTCTATCTCAGCTTCCTCAGACGCTAGAGTCTGCTCTGCCCCACTTGTACACAGCTACAGTGTTGGGGGTAAATTCAGCCCAGTTGAGGCTGAGGTCCAGTGGACGCCGGTGTATTGGTTATCCTCAGCATTGTTGACCTCCTCCAGCACAATAGTAAACATGGCATTGTTTCCCCCTTAAATTCATTTTTATCTGCCTGTTCCCATTTAGGATCAGTTATGTTAATCCACAGAATCGTCCAGCTAATCGCTGTGCTCCTCAACTGCCCCATCCAGTGGAAGTGGAAAGCTAATAGCATCCCACTTCCACTGCAACGTTTTCCTGTGATGCATGTCATTGTTATAACTTTGTAATTGTCGTCTCCTGTTACACGTAAAAAACAATCTTCACATTACTTCCTCCAAGTAAAGTTAGGTTATTAGGGTTTTAGCTACAGTCTGTCGTCACTAACAAAAACCAACCTTTTGGTCGTTCCTTCTTTTGTATTTGTTACCCTAAATTTGTGCTCTGTGCCCTATTTCTGAAGTCAGAGTCATTCATTTGATCCTTGATTTAAGTCTGCTATTAAGGACAATGAGTTTCTTTTTTCTTCTTGCCAGTTAAACTCCTGAATTGAGGACTATATTTTTGATGCATTTTAAGTATGAACCAATTTTTATGGAAATTGGTTTTGTAGATATTAATTTGATGGTCCTGACGAGCAATGATCCTGCAGAGGCAGAAGATTAAAAAAAAAAGAAAAAAGAAAATGCCAAACAGGTAGAAATTCAGTTCAGGACTACACCAGGCACACGACATTTAATATGTATACTGCTTAGCTATCAGGAAAGCAATTTACACATTGCAGTATATAGCTCAGATGGAACAATATTTCCCCTTTTGCCCCCCCACTCGCGCCCCCATATCCCCTCCTCCTACCGAAGGAGAAGCAGGCCCCACGGTACAGTTAAAGATATAAATAGAGCACGGTTTTATTTCACTCTCATAAACATGCAGATTGATTAGGGTCATTTCCTGCCAGCCTACATCCATCCACCCTGGCCTCACCCTCCATTAGTGATGAAAACTAAGATTTATTGCCAAGTCTGTCACTTTCACACTATAATTCACTGTTGCACCGGCTGACTGTTTTTTGAAGCATATTACGGCCATGTTTTTTTGTGTTCACAGGAGAGGGTGCAGGTTGCCAACGGAGTGTTGTCAATCAGTCGACTGACGCTCTCAGACACAGGGATATACCAGTGTGTGGCAGGAAACAAGCACGGCGAGGTCTACGCCAACACTGAGCTCCGAGTCATTGGTAAGTCATTTGACCAAAGCCATTGTTTAATTATTCAAAACTAAATGATCACAGATTTGCATTTTGCCTTATATCTTGGGAATATCTCCCAAAATTTCCTCCATGCCTTTATTCAATATTTTTTAAAATTACTATATTTTCTCAGATAGTCCTAAGGTCATGTAATGGACATTTCTGGGATAGACAGATAGTCTATTATGAAAATGTCCATTAGCTTAAAATGCACTTTTTGAAATACTGCCCCAAGCTTGAAAGTCAGTCCTTTTTTAGCTGCATTTTTCTCCTGTTTAAACACAATGGTCTCTCTAGACTTGATGATTTTGATTTGCTGAATTTGAATAAGTGAAAGGCGACAGCCATAAGTGAATTAGAAAACTGATTACAGTTCATTTTTCTGATTGAGGAACCTTCCAGAGTCTTGTCCTGTGAAAAAAAACATACTTAAATCAAATTAGCAAAACAAATTGATTGCAGTTTTGTGCCAACATTTCTGGTAAATGTGTTTACATAGAATATCCATCCATGGTTCTGTGCTTTGATACAAACAGACATTTCCATCCTCCTACTATCCAAAAAAAACAAAAAAAAAACAGACGTGGAGCTTCCCTTTCACTGCTTTTAATGGCAAAGATAACATTTCCATTAATATGATACATGTGAGTTTTACTGTCTTATTAAATATGCAGTGTATTATCGAGGTCAAGAGTAATAAAAAGGGGGTAAATTTTACCAATGGCACTGCATGAGAGTATAAATGACAATATTTTGATGGATATCTTTGGTGACCTGAGGTATTACTACAGTTTGACTGCACTCATTACTAGTACAGTAGCTTCAAAACCTGGGATTAAATGAATGGCCAACTTACACACAGCCGTTGGTTATATCATAAAGCCAATACTGACAGGTCACAGTCTTATAAGTGACATCACTGCCAGTTTCCACACACGGCGTTGTCTGTGTTTGTTTTGAGTTTGCTGCCCCTTCTCCTTCCGGTCAATAGCTGCACATGACCTCTGACCTCCAGGTTATTGGCCCTTAATTGTAAAGCATTAATTATAGGAAGAATGTGTCTGTCTGACAGTGATGTATGCCAGACCTGCTCCGTTGCCTAGCGTTGCCCATCTGTTCTGTCAAGCCTGTCACTCTCCACTGCAGGCTGCCAACAGCCCTCGGTGTTCAACCTCCGACATGTTTTCTTCTGATCACATCACTGATTAGACTCGGGCTCAGTGCAGCTGAGGATACATAGAAGTCAAAGTCAAGAGGGAGCCTTTAAAAAGGGAACGTCAGGATACTGACTCAGACAGTCCTACTGCTGAGCTGGATCTCTTCCCTGACTGGCTCGGGAAAAGTTTTATATTTAATTTAAAAGGTTAATAAACAATAAAGTTTTGCCGTTGTCAAAGAGAATTAAATAGGGGATAGAAATGAGTCCACCTTAAAATGTCTAGTTTTCAACAGGCTAGGTAACATAGGAGTGGACAGATGTTCGCTCTGTTTAAATAGTAATTCTGTATTTGAACAGTCCAAAACCTGGTCCAGGACATTTTCAAAAATAACCTTAGTAGTATTGTGTACTCTCTACCATCACTGCAGTATAGAGGCCAGGAGGAATTTTTCCCAGAAAAGCTTTGCAGTTTGTCAGAAATGTTGCACCGTCCATTAGACAGTAACACCGTTTCCTCTGTATTCAGCTGGAATTTGGTATTCATACCAAAAAGCATCAGAGCTTCAGAGTTCTTTCTTTTTCGACAATGAGTAACTCAGAATCTAGTCCTACTGCAGTGGTAACTAAAATAGTTAGTGAATATCCAGGTACAAAGCTGAAGTAGTTGTTTACAGTTTCTTCTGTCTGTGTTTTTTCTGTCCAAAACACACTACTACATTAAATTAAACACACTACATGTGATTTGTTGATGGTTGATGGTTTAACAGTAAATGAAATTTCAATTAAACATATTAGTTGTCTGGTACTAAAATGCTCTTATTAGATTACAACATTAACAAATCAGATTTCTAGCTCAGGCAGATGAACATTGACTCGTGCATTCTTTGTAACTAGATAAAAAATCTACAAAAGCCAGACCGACGCAATATTACAGTACATTCATAAAATACAAATATGAAAAGAAATCTCAAGCTTCAGCCATGGGAGTAAATATCACCAGTTTTCAAACTCACCTCAGTGTCTCAGAGTGCATTATAAAGTGCTTGTAAAAAATGAAGGATTACTTCCAACCATTGAAGATGGCGATAATCACATAATCAAAGCTGAACACCAGCAGCAGGTTCCTACTTTCTATACTTTGGCCCAAAATAAAAGTTAAAAAATAAAAAATTACATTTGTTTGTTTGTTTGTGTGTTTAGCTAAATCAGATATAAAACATTTTATATTCCGTCTTTAATATGCTGCTCTTGTTTCAGCTGTTGCCCCAGATTTCTCCCGCAATCAACTGAGGAGCCAGACGCTGGTGCGGGTGGGAGGAGACGTGCTCATCGAGTGCAAACCCAAAATGTCTCCTTGGGGGGTGATTTTGTGGCGTAAGGGCAACGAAGCCCTCAGAGAAAGTAACAGGTAAGTCAACTTTTGCCACACTTTGCTGAACTTTCTGCTGGTGCTCTCATTATTCCAGCCTGGAGAGAGTTGATGGGTATTAATCTAGACACGTCTTTATGCTAAACAAGGCTTCTGGTGCTTCCAGGTGTAGCATCCTGTAACAATCTGAATGAATCATTGGTGATGTTGCAAAGCTGGGGAACAGGAACATACCATATTAAAATGAATGCCTGTTGTTAGTGCACTGGTGTATGAAGGTGCCATCAGAGATTGTCTGGGCCAAATTAATGAAAGAAAGTATAATCAAATGTTGTTTTATGTTGAAAGGCTCCCACAAACTCTCCTGTGTCGTTGAAGTATTTGCTGTCGTTCCTAGACCTGCCATACACAAGCCTACTTTTCTCTAATGTTATGGCATTGGTGGGGAGTGAACTTTTGTGCCTTTGGTTTTGAAATGGAATAAGTCACTCACTCTTTTCTATCTATTCTTTTTTCAATATTTGGATCCTGAAATTTTGACCAATATTGGACAGAAAATGATTCATCTGCATAGCTTAGTAATAAATACAATTAAAAAAACTTACAATAGAAAATGAGATAAGATATACAGGAAATCCAGAGTGCTGATCGAGCTGTTTGCAGCATAGCATGGATAAAATGTTATTGTGCAGATTCTGACAAATTCAAGTTTCTGAGGAAGACAAAATGATCTCATCTTCCAAGAGATTACTGGTCTATAATGTTGCAAGAAATTATAAGGAATTAATTTTTTTTTTTTTTATCTTCCTTCACGTGACATTTGGACCAGTGGCTTCACTACGGTCACACGGGTGTCACCACTCAAGCATGACTTCGGTCTGACAGCAGGCCTGTGTGCACACTGTCTTGTCTGGCTTTGCATATATACAAAGCGGTGTTTGTTGCTTGTCAAACAAAGTGGCGTGGAATTTGCATAGTGGTCTCGCCTTTGGTGCCCTTCACTCGTCCTCCTGCCCTCATGTCACACTCCGTGTGAGCAACTGAATCATGTCGTTTTGTAAATTTGAATTTATACAAACCCGATCTACGGAAAACTCGATAAAGCTTGTGATAAATGTTTTAAAATCTCAATCAGACTTCTGTTGTCCTTTCCTTTAATAGAACTATTCCATATTTTAGTACCTGATTTTTTTTTTGTTCTTGCCCTTGTACGTGTAGCATTATTACCCATTTTTGATGCTTAAAAGATATGAACTAGTCTACAGGCAGTGGCCCTTCTCTTTATCATGCACCAAAGATTTTATGTAAGAGATGGATGTGGACTGTAGACAGTCAAACCCAAAAAGTCCTAAGCACTGAACATTACCATCCTTACATTCCTGAAGGGAACTCATCAGGGGTTAATAACATTTAGTCTTTCTATTAAAAAAAACCCACTGCTGAATATTAAGGACAAGCTCATGCATTAGTAATGCCTTGCATTTTTCAGATACTACACACTATGGCTACTAATTTACACCATACTATACCAGATGCTGGCATTAGCATTTCCAAAAAAAGTGATGAGATTGACATGAGTTGTTGAAACTTCTGTTTTTTTATATCCAAACCTGTCACAAAACCTGTTAATGTCAAACTAAAAATGTCGCAAAATGTGACAAAATGTGACAGAAGGACTTTTTTTTATCTATTACTAGCTCTATCTGTCTTTTTGTCCCAGGTGTCCACAGTGTGTTAGGCTCATCAAACATTTAAATATTCATTTAAAATCATAGTTCCTCCACTTTGCATTTGTTCTTGTGCATTTTTCTTCATTCAAAATATCTCAGATTTTACCAAAGTGTAGTCCAGCTATCTTTCTTTGGAATCTTAACATGGCTTGCCCCTGTGTGCTGGTGCTTTCAGTTTTTTGTAATTGTAAATCACCTAATGACCACCTGCAGTTAAAAAAAAAACATTTTATATTTGGCTTGAAGCATTTTACTGGTAGAACTTTTTATCATGTGTGAAGTTAAAAATTCAATATATTTTTTTGTTACAAGTTTTACTTATAGTTTAATGGAAATCAGATTCTTGGTTAGTAAAAAACCTGATCTAACTGAATTAAATTTGTTCCTGGCCATCTGTGCGGCTCTTCTAACATTAAGAAGAAATAGATTGGAAATTAAAATCCCAGCTGTTTTATATGAAAGAGGACATTCATTCTGTTATGATGTAAAGCTGCATCAAGTGAATAAAAAAGCCTAAACTAAGTACTTTTATTTGAATATGTTGCTTCTATTTCTTTTATTCTTCTAAGGTCTAAGGTTGATCACACGGAGGTCACCCAGAGAGGTCACCTGGACTAAGTCTATAAGCCTTGTTGATGAAACACTTTTCTTTTTAACCTTTTTTTCCTTAAAATTGTTAGTCCTTGTAAATTACAGCCAGCCACTCTTCCAGAGTTCCAGTAGTTTGGGGGAGTCTTGTACATCAGACGTCTGTGATTATCAACAACCAACAGTACATGTTGATAATAGAGTTTTGTCAATGTTTTAAACCATAGCTTCGGTCAAATTAACTAAGTAATTGAAGCCTGTTTGGTGAGGGGACCTGTGACCAGAAGTGTAAAATCGTGGGCGCTAGCTGTGACTCCCCTTTCGTTCCCAATTGATTTCCTTAATTGCATTAGCTCTCTACAGTGGCTATGGCCAACAGAAACTAGTGTCACCAGCTGTGTGAACTATCTTCACAGCAGCAGAATCCACTTTTTTCCTGCAGGACCCCGGTATAGAGAGGGGACGTCTAATCTACCCCCAACAACCCTGCAGGGATGCAGTTTCGATGACATCAGGTGGAAAAAAAAGCAGCTGAGCTGAGCAGGTCCTGCTGATGAGAGTGTAACTGTGTCATGTCAGCCGTGGTGCAGGGACTTAAAAGAAAAGGAACATGACATTTCAATATGTCACTCGCAGAGAGAAATCAAGTCTGGTGGGCTGCTCACACCAGAAGTACTCAATCAAATGTGCCTTCTGGAGCTGCCGTGAGATGAGATGACACGCTGATGTTGTTCCTTACTCAGTCAAATGCTGAAGGCCTTGAATATTAATCTTTGGTAACTTTGCCATTCATGCAAATATTTGCACTCGTCCTTTAATTCCGGCAAAGACAGTCTTTGTTGGTTGTGCTTCAGACAAATCTCTGTCACCTTTCTATGAAAATACAGTGATGCTGCAGGCTGTTTCAGCAGACGCATGATGCTTTGTCCTTTGTTGAAGCTCTATTAAAAAAGGATGGTCAGAATCCTTATGTTGTTATGTGACACATCCAAAAAAGGGTTCAAAAAGGAGTTTCCAGGAACATCCAAATATACCTTAAGGTGAACTACAGGATCTGATTGTACGTGGGTCTCTTCAGTAAAAATGCCATTTGGTCTCCTGCTGTGCCATAATTAAGGTGCTGTGAAGACGAGGTGTAGGAGGAAAGTGCTAATCCTGCAGAGAACAGAGAAAGCTAATGGCTACCAACTAGAACAGAAGGAAAAACAAAATGTCTGTATTAAATGGTAAAACTGACCCTTATGAAGTCAGTGCTGTCTTAGGATTATACAGAGAACACTTTTCTCTTCTAAACCATCAATTCATAGAGCCCTGCCTCAAAGCATTAGATGTTTATTTTGAGCGCACAGGGATTGTTACTCTATTGCTGCTTTATTTGATAAATGTGTGCCTTTCAGTATTGTTGATGAGGTTTTGTAACTCATACTTAAAGTTGTGACTTTTGGGACCATTTTATTCAATATAGTTGTAAGGCCTCATACTGAATCTTCTTTAGCAGAAAAATAAATTATGTAAAATAAAATTGCACGTAGGGGAAGATAAGTGATGTCACTATCAGGCAAACATTTCCTGCAAATATTAATATCTTTTTAGTCAGTCCAGTTGGATCTAACTCAGTGCCCTTTAATAGATTTCCATTTCAGAGCTTCCAGCTAACCAGCTTGATCCAGGTCAAAAGCTGCTAAACTTAAGCCTTAGGGTAATGGTAAAGAGGAGGGCAACAGTACCTTCTTGGTTTCAGTTCTGAAGAAGGCACTTGGATAAGAGGTGAAACTTCTTCAAGAGACCTAGACTGTCCACTTGTCCTCTATGTAACTGCTTTGGATAAAAAAAAATGACCTGAGTGACGAGGACACAGATGAGACTTGGGGTTCTTTGGTCAGCGACAAATACTTTGTGCAAACTAAGAAGTTGTGGCAGGATTTTTTTTTCTATTATTTAATTTTCTCTAATTCTTCCTCAACCACATTTTTCACTCAACGTAATGTTAAATGTTAGAAAATGATCACAGATGCTCGTCACCTGTGGCATGATATGGAGAATGGCTTTGGATCTAATTCTCATCTGGTGAAATGCTTTGAAGCTACAATAGTATTTACATCTACATTATTTTCGTCTGTCTCTGTGGTTTTATTTGTCTTTCTCTGAAGGGACTTTCAACAGATTTCTAAAAGAAGTTCACAGTGGGGAAAAAAAGCAAAGAAAAAAAAGCACAATTCTAGCCACATATTACAATATAAAATTGGCTGTATTTTAAATCACCATGGCCGTTCAATTCCTGTCTTTAACTCTTCACAATTGTTCTTTTTCTTCCTCCCCTCCCCTCCTGTCAAAAACCCATTTGCACAATCACTATATGTGTGTAAAAATATGCAGCAGTGGCAGTTGGTGCAGTTATTGTGCACTTGGTAGCAGAACAGCGTGAGTGACATCTTAAAACATTCTGGGTACAGGGGCCTTGTTTCCAAGGTAACGTTTGTTCAATGATTTCTCACCTTTTTTTTCTGCCCCAGATTAGTGGTTTCAAACTTCAAAAGAGTTTAAAAGTAGTCTCAGCGCAAATAGTAACACGAGGAAAGAAAAACAACCACAGGAAGTCAAATTAATTAATGTTGGTTGATAGCAGCTAAACAATTCTGTTTATAGAAAAATGTATTAAAATGTGTTCAAATGAATGTGTTAATCCTGTTAATTAATTTGTGAAGATGGAGATATTTAAAC